TTTTAGAGTGATTAACAACTGGACGTATGGTCTTTTGATCCGAACCAGTATAAATTACTTGTGTAATCTTCTTCCCTTATCTATTTACATTTCAAGTGCTTTATTATATTATCATTTAATCGATAAAACTTGCAAAAAGTTTTTAAAAGGAAAAAGTTTTATAAGAAACCAATTCACCCCGCTCTTGGTTTTTGTCACAAGTGCAAACATTCCGTTGTGCGATACCAACAAGTGGTATCAGAGCTTGTTTTGATAGTTTTTCAAATTTTCAAAAATGACCGAACAAAACCAAACTTTTGCTGAGGGTGCCTCTATCAACAGACCCCCACTTTTTACTGGACAAAATTATCCTTTCTAGAAAGTTAGGATGAAAATATCTTTAGAGTCTATTGACAGGGGTGTTTGGAATGCTGTTGTAAATGGTCCTTTTATTCCTAAGATGACTGTAAATGAAGTAGAGGAACCAAAACCATTTTCTAGATGGACTGCTGAGGAAAGTAGAAAAGCCCAATATCATGTTAGGGCTAGAAATATTATTTCATCTGTTTTAACCCTTGTGAGTTTAATAGAATTTCAGTTTGTAAAAGTGCTCAAGAAATGTGGAAAATTCTAAGAGTGGCTCATGAAGGAACTGATGACGTGAAAAGAGTAAGGAAAAACTCATTGATACAAAAATATGATATGTTTTGAATGCAACACAGAGAAACAATTTTTGACATTCAAAAGTGTTTCACACACATTGTGAACCATCTCTCTGGGCTTGGTAAGAATTTTAATACTGACGAGTTAAATGTTAAATTTTGAAATCTTTGCTCATGAAATGTCAACCTAAGGAAACTGCCATCACATAGTCACAAAATCTGGCAACAATGACAATGGCGACTCTCTTTGGAAAATTGAGAGAACATGAGCTTGAACTAGGAAGGCTAAATGATGAAGAAGGCCAACATCAAAAGAGAAACTTGGCCTTCAAAACTAAAATTTTTAAAAATAAGAAAAAGAAGGAAGAAGAAAATTTCGATAGTGAAGAAGATGAAAACCTGAGTCTCATGATCAAAAAATTCACCAAGTTCATGAAAGTCAAAGGAAGACAATCATTTAAAGGTAAGAAAGATGAAAAAGAAGGATCTTCATTAAATTACAAATGTTATGGTTGTGGTGAAATAGGTCATGTAAAATCCGAATGTCCCAACAAAAGGAGTGATGATTCTAAAGGCAAGAAATCTTTCAAAAAGAAAGCCTACATAACATGGGAAGATAATGACTCTAGTTCAAAGTCAAGTGATTCCGATGTTGAAGAAAACCTTTGCTTAATGGCAAACAACAGTTTCTCTTCCGATGGTGAGGTAAGTGATTATGGCTATTCTTCAAGTGGTGATGAAAATGATTATGATGCTTTACATAATGCATATCAAGAATTTTTTACTGCCTTTAAGGACTTGAAATCTAAATACAAATTGTGAAAAAGAGTTTGAATAATTCAGAAAAAGAAGTATAATCTTTAAAAACGAAAATAGTATCTTTAGAAGAAAAATAAAATGAACCAATTGCATGTGCATCATGTAAAAGCTATGAATTTGACATATGCATACTTGAGCATTTACTAGAAAAAGTAACAAAAGATGTGAGTGATGATAAAAACAATGAAAATGAAAAGTATGTGGAAACTAAAGTTAATAGTCATGTTCCTTGGAAAAGACCTAAAAATAAAAGAACTCGTAGGGTATGGGTTGTGAAAGGGACTAAACCTTATCAAAATAGAGTTGAATCTTTTTCAAAAACTAAAAACCCCAAATGCATGCTTTTATTGTATGAAACTTGGTCATACTTCAAATAAATGTAGAATTAAGCATTTTGGTGTTCCTAAAGGGAAATACATTTGGGTTCCTATAGTTAAATAATTTGATTGTCTCTAACCCCAAGGATCCAAAAGTTATGGGGACCTAAGATCCTGTGTTCTTATTTTGTAGGTATCTACTAAATAAAAAAAATCTATGTGATACCTTGATAGTGGATGTTAAAAACACATGACTGAAGATAAAAATAAATTTACAAGTTTCATCAAGAAAGAACAAGGATATGTAACTTATGGAGACAACAACAAAGGTAAAATCCTTGGAACTGGAAACATTGGTGGTGCAAATACTTTGGAGATAAAAGATATGCTCCTTGTTGATGGGCTAAAGCACAATATTCTAAGTATAAGTCAACTTTGTGATAAAGGACTTAAGGTAAATTTTTATAGTAATTTCTGCACCATACATCTTAAAGATTCTAAGGAAGTTGCATTAAAAGGTATTAGACATAACAATATTTATTTGATTGACTTGGATTGTGCATCTAATGTTGATATAACATGCTTGGTTGCTAAAGATGAAAACCCATGGTTATGGCATAAGAGAGCGGCTCATATAAATATGCATCAATTAAACAAACTAATATCTAAAGACTTAGTTATTGGATTGCCTAAGTTAAAATTTGAAAAAGATAAACTATGTGATGCATGTCAAAAAGATAAACAAGTAAAATCATCTTTTAAAACTAAGAATATAATTTCCACATCAAAGCCTCTAGAACTTTTACATTTAGATTTATTTGGACCATCTAGAATTAAAAGTTTTGGTGGAAATTATTATGCTTTTGTAATTGTTGATGATTACTCTAGATTTACTTGGACATTTTTCTTAACTTTGAAAAGTGAAGCTTTTAAGACATTTAGAAAGTTTTCTAAGCAAATTCAAAATGAAAAGGAATTAAGAATTAAAGTGTTAAGAAGTGACCATGGTGGAGAATTTCAAAATGAATCTTTTGAAAAGTTTTGTGAAGAGAATGGTATTTTGCATAATTTTTGTGCACCGAGAACCCCCTAACAAAATGGTGTAGTTGAAAGGAAAAATAGATCACTAGAGGAACTAGCTAGAACAATGTTGAATGAATCTAATGTTCCTAAATATTTTTTGGTTGATGTTGTAAGTACCGCTTGCTATGTTTTAAATAGAATGCTCATTAGACCTATCTTGAAAATGACTCCTTATGAGCTATTTAAAGGAAGAAAACCAAATGTAACTCATTTGAAAATCTTTGATTGTAAATGTTTTGTGTTAAATAATGGTAAAGATACTAAGTAAATTTGATTCAAAAGCCAATGAGGCTATTTTATTAGGTTATTCTTATGCTGATTATGGAGGATGTAAAATAAATAGAAAAAGAACTAGTGGAACATGTCATCTATTAGGATCATCCTTAGTATCTTGGCATTCTAAGAAACAAGCTTGTGTTGCTTTATCCACAACTCAGGCTGAATATATTGCAGCTGGAAATTGTTGTGCTCAAATTCTTTGGATGAAGCAACAACTAGAAGATTATAATACTTTTCTAAATAACATTCCTTTGATGTGTGATAATACAAGTGCAACTAACCTTACTAAGAATCTTGTTATGCACTCTAGAACTAAGCATATAGAGATTAGACATCATTTCTTAAGACATCATGTTAATAAGGGTAATTGTAAAATTGAATATATTGATACCAAGCATCAATTAGCAGATATTTTAACTAAACCTCTTCCCAAGGATAGATTTTATGAACTTAGGAGAGATTTAGGGATATTAGAAATATCTTATCTTTGAAAAGTTTTCAAGAAATGATATCTTGCTGGAATAATCGATTATTCATGGTAATAATCGATTATTCTGTATCTCATTATCCTTCAATTTTGCATGCCTCTCTAGAATAATCAATTATTTGGGTTGATAATCAATTATTGTTGCTTCAATGTGTGATACATATAAAATCTTTCTAGAATAATCGATTATTTAGGCTTATAATCGATTATCTGTAATTCAATGTGCGAATGTAAAAGCTCTTTGGGATAATCGATTATCTCAGATGATAATCGATTATCCATGCATATTTCTAGGCAGAAGTTGAAGAAATAATCGATTATCATAAGTGGATAATCGATTATTTTACGACGTTGGGCATAAACTAGCCATTGGCAACGGGTCTCTTGGCCGTGAAACTCGTAAATATAGTCGTTTATAGTCATTGGAGAAGTTCTATATATATAGGAAGCCTTAGAAACTCATCAAATCATCTTCAAACTTCTCTTCTAAGTGATTTGCATTGATTCCAAGTTCATTCTTGTCTCTTGCTTTTGTTTCTCTCAAACTCTTGCTTCTCTCAAATCTCAATCCTTCTTTCTTCCCTAAATGGCTTCATCCTCCAGATGAAAGATTTTAACCAGGAAAAGATATGCTCCTGCCTCTCATCCCTGTCCAAGTTCAGTTGAATGGTGAATTTCTAATGAAGAGAACCGACAAGAATTTCTTACCTTTTGGAAGGAGAGGGGTATCATCTCTCCAAAATTTCTGATAGGAGATCACTTTATCAAGTTGAAAATCAAGGACTTCTACCTTTTATTGAAATACAAGGTACGTATTATTCGGATTTAGTACGGGTATTCTACTCTCGCTTTAAGTATAGAGATCACGTTGCTACTTCTCGGGTTAAAGGACTCACCATCATTCTTGATGATGACATATGGAAAAACGTAGCAAAATTTCCCATTCAAGATGATGTCATCAACGTCATGATGGATCTTGATGATTTCAACCGAATTCGGGCATACCGCTCCTTGCTCTGCAATCCTGCCATGGAGATCGGAAGACAACTTCTTGCAGGACCTCCAAAGAAAGAGGAACGTATGCTACTTCATCTCATTGTCTGGATTCTCTGTCCCAGAGCCACCAATCATGCTCAGTGTTCTGCTACTGATCTTCGTATCATACATGCAATTATGAACAATGAGCCAATTGATTGGCCCAATCTTGTTTCTTTGACGATGCTCAAAGCCAAGAGACATCCTACCTTTAAGATTCCTTATGCTCTTCTCATTTCCAGGATTCTGGAATACAAGGGTGTTAATGTTGAAGGAGAACAACGGGCCCAAACATTAAATTCAAATTGGATGCTTAATGGAACTTTATCTCAGCTTCAAATGGTCAATGCTAATGGAAAATACTTCCATAAGGATAAAGCATCCCATGCTGCTGAGGTTGCTGCAGATTCTGATGATGAAGAGATGTCTATTGCTGATATTCCTGTCATCGGAACTTCATCTGGTGCTCATACTAAACCCCGCTCTCCATTGAGGATATGTTTGTTAGAATGAACCAAAAAATGCAAGACTTCTTTTCCATCTTTGCATAATGGAATCAAGAAATTATCCATCGCATTTCGAATATGGATGAACGTGTGTCAAATCTTGAAGACAGATTTGACATGAAATTTAATAGTGACTCTGAAAGCGAAGAATTTTAGCATTTTTCTTTTCTCTCTTTTTAGGCTTAGCCTTTTTTCTTTCTTTTACCCTTCTATATTTTGTATTGTTTTGCTCAACTTCAATAAATACCTTTTTTTTGCACATATTAAGGGGGAGTTGATTATTTTTATGCACATGTAGAGGGGGAGCTTATATTTTTTTATTATGATAAAATAGGGGGAGAAAATATTTAAAGCTTGGTATGTTTAATCTCTTTTCTATGATAGCTGTGACAGTAAAAACAGGTTATTACAAAGGGCTTTAAAGCAGTTTTTAATCATTATAAAAAAGGGGAGATTGTTGAAAATATAAGGATATGATGCCTGAAGATTTTGATGATGCTTTAGAGACAAATAACTTCAAGATTAGAAGACTCATATATAGTTGTATCTACTTGTAATAACCTTGTTTTATCATTTTGAGTCTGTAAAGATAGAATCCAAGATAGCCAACACACAGTCTGTCCATTGAAAATTTGTTTTTATCCAAAACCCACTGTGATAATCGATTATCTTAGCTCTTTTGGGTATCTGAAAGTCTCTGGAATAATTGATTATCACTATTGATAATCAATTATTTGTGTCAGTTATGATTTTGAATTTCAAATTTCAGACCTATTCTCGAAAACCCTAATTTCTAAACCCTAAAAAATCTATTTAAAGAATTCTCTGGCTATCTGTAAAGACAACATTTTTCATACTAAAGTTTATAGTTGTGATTGCTGATAGAAATTTTAGTAGGGAAGAAAAAGGGAGTTTTGTAACCTAGTGTTGTCTAGAAGCGGTAAGAATCACTAAGTGGGTTTCTTGGTGGATTGTGTGTTGTGCTGTTTTTAGGAAAATTTGTTTTCATCCTTTGTCGATTCAAAGGAGGTGTTCATCTCTTGTGTGACTCAAGAGAGGTGTTTTCTAATCCTTATTATTTGTAATTTGTTTGAACTATTGTTTTAGTGACTGGGTTAATCCTCTTTTAGAGTGATTAACAACTGGACATAGGGTCTTTTGATCCAAATCAGTATAAATTACTTGTGTAATCTTCTTCCTTTATCTATTTACATTTCAAGTGCTTTATCGTTTAATTGGTGTAGACCCCAAATCTTGCCCGGTCTCACAATAAAGATCAGAAGACCTCCTTTTCGAAGATGGACGAAGCCTAAGAAGCCACTAGGAGAGACTATTAGGCCCCATACTAGGATAGGAGGGATTTTTGGCACAAAAATAAGGATTTTCGCCTTTTGGCGAGACGGCCGTCTCGCCATTCCTGCAAGGCGAGACGGCCGTCTGGAATGTCGAGACGGTCGTCTCGACCTTGTCAGACGAGACGGCCGTCTCGACCTGACAGGCGCGAATCCCTATAAATATGGCGCTCCCTCCCCTCATTTCCACACACCACACAGCTTTCTCACTCTCTCTCTAGTCACATCAAGAGTTTCTCTCTCTAGAATCCCTCCGATGCATTTCCGGAGCTTCTGAGCATATTTAGAGTGTTTTTAGAGCGTTTCGAGAGGTTTCCGACGCCGTGTAGAGTGAAGGGCTGCCGCAAAGCACCCTATTTTTAAAGAATTAAATAGAAAGCTTGCTTCGAAGGTCTCTACTCTCTTTCTCTTCCTTTTACTGCTTTATTTAAATTATGCAATAGACATTAGGGCCATGTAGTCATAATTTTTAAATTCTGCAAAAATAAAAGGGCAAAAGCGTATTTTTCCGGTTTATTTATTAACAGAATAGCTGGCCTATCATAGGGAACCCGAAAGGGGCGTCGTAAAGGAACTAAAACTTCCTTTACGCGTAACTAACTCCCTTACCCAACTCTGGTTCTAACAACCAAAGTTGGTTTTTCGAAAACCAACGCCTTTTAAACTCCTTTTCTGATGTTTCCGGTAAAAACATCGGTGGCGACTCCAGAGAACCCTCAAAAACTAGCTCTTGGATTAGCCCGGTTATCGGACAATCCAAGAGCACCTTTTCGAAAACCTCGCCCTCAGGTTCAGCCCGGTTATCGGACAACCTAAAGGCGTTGTAACCACCAATAAAAAACGCGAAAATATAGAGAGTCGGAAACCATCGCGTCGCTCCGACCGCCCTCGTTTTGACGGCGGCGACAGATGGTGACTCCACTGGGGAAGCCTAGAGAGTTGATCCCATTTAGTGATAGGTCGGCTTAAAAATAAATAAACCAAGAAAATAACGCTTTTGCCCTACCTTGTATTATAACATGTTTTATTGCTTGGCTTTAATAACTGTTGTCTGTTTATATTTATGCAATTGTGTGAAATACAAACTGTACACAAACCCTTGCACACAACAGTTCCCTCTATACCCGGGGGCAAGTGAGAAAACCATAGGGAGTGGGTGGCAGGTACGGTTCGCTGTAGTGATGGCCTTGTGCCCACCGGTGTGATCGGAAACCACCACTCAAGGTGATAACCTTCCTCTTTTGGCAACAAGATTGACTATGGCCTTAGTGCTAAGCATGGTCGGAAGGCTGGAGAGTGGGGACCCTATAATGGGGGCACCTTGGGGGCCTTAGCCTTGGTGAGGACAGTTAGAACCTACCTTCGCCAAATCACTTTTCTGCAGGAAAACCCTACCTCGTGATAAAAACGAATTCTCGCCTGTTCGCGGATGATCGAATTGTGTGTGCATATGTTTGTTGCATTTGTCTATTGCATAGCATAACCAAACAACAGAAGAAAAATCACAAAAAACATTTTTGCAATAAACGCCCTTATCTCGGACAGTCTGCCTTTTAGCTAGCCTGGTTTCAGGTTCTTTGCAACCTAAGTAGCCATGCAGTTCCGACAAAAGAGATAAGGGATGCTAAATATTTTTCGCATAAAGCCACATTTTATCTTGGACAGTCTGCCTTTTAGCTAGCCTGGTTTCAGGTTCTTTGCAAGCTAAGTAGCCACGCAGTTCCAACAGAAGAGATAAAAGGCTATAAAATAAACAAGCAATAAAAATCAAAAAATAAAAATCTGTTTCCAAAACAATAAATGGGACCTGATTCATAAACATCCCAAATCATTCATATAGGTAGTTTATTTTTTTTTTCAAAAAAAAAAAACGTAAATACCATACAAAACATGATAAACAAAAATAAACACTCACATTCATTCAAATAAGCATCATTTTTCATAAAACATGCATTTTGGTTTTAGAAAAATGGAGGGGACTAGTAGACAATTGAAGAAGGTGGATATTCCCCAATATCATACTGAGAAGTTGGAACGGCTTTGCGCGGTAATGCCACCAGAGGTCCGCGCCGACTTTGAAAAATCCTATGGACGGATTCTTGACCTTCTAAAGATCTGTGTCGATCAAGTGTTCCTTAGGGTATTAATCCACTTTTGGAACTCCAGTCTGCGATGCATTGAATTTCCGCAGTTCGATATGGTGCCTACCTTGGAGGAGTATGAGATTATGTTGAAATGACCCAAATCAGCTGGGGTCCATATCCGCCACGGGGCATATACTCCTGCAGCACAAGTCGCTGCCATCATTCAACTACCCTTCTGGCAGACTACCCTGATAGGAAAAGGGAACGTCCAGGGTTGGAAAGTCTCAATGTTAGAAGACCATCTGTCTAACTTGGCAGAAAGGACAGAGTGGGTCGCCTTCAACAAAACCCTGGCTTTAATCATTTTTGGAACGATCTTGTTTCCCTTCCACCTCGACACAGTGGATCAAGCCGTCATGGACGCCTTCTTCGCCTGGGACGTGAACTCGAAGAGTCCCTTGCCTGCAATTCTTGCCGACACTTTGCTCTCGGTGGAATTTTGCCGCCAGAAGCAAGGAAAAACACTTCGCTGCTGCTCTTCACTGCTATTCATGTGGAGCGCTACACACCTCTACACCTCCAGTCACATGGGGATATTCCCCGATCCTTTGAGGAGCTTCTCCAAAATCCCTCTCCAACGACGCTTAACTTCATAATGGAGGGACGAGTTGGAACAAAAGGACGCCAACAGTATATCCTGGGTCTGCCCTTGGTTCCGACCTGGCCCAGTTCTCATCAAATGTGGAGACTATCCGAACGTACCCTTGATAGGACTCAGGGGTTGCATAGCCTACTCACCTAGAGTAGCTATGAGACAGCTCATGAGGACTCAAACTACCATCTCTCGGGGGGAACTCGGAGGACTGTGTTTCTTCGGAGACCCATGCACAATCGCCAACTCACTAGCCGTGAGAAGAGCATGGGAGAGACTAGTCTATATGGGAGATAGAGAGCTAGGAAAAGCTTGAGTGACTGTCTCTAGTGACTACGAGGTGTGGAGACAAAGAAGAGGGATGTCTCAACCATCCACCACACTCATTACAAGCGCCAACAGTGAAGAGCTGCAGGCTCAAGTCAATGCCTTGACCTAGAGGATAGAAATCATGGGAGCCCAGATGAGGGCCCTCGAAGAAAGAGAGCAAGAATCTATCCTCACCATAGATGGTCTGCAAAGGCAATGCAAGAAAAAGGATCATGAAATAGAGCGCCTCAAGGATCAGTGTGCTGACTCCAACGAGCAAGCTATCCGAGCATCCAAAACTGCCAGAACCAGCTCGGATAGCCAACTTCAAGAAATAACCGCCAAGTCTGCACACCTTGAGGCCGAATCAGCAAAACAGGCTCAGACGATCAAGGAATTGTTGCAAGAACTCACCAAGACTCGGTCAGACATATGCCAAGAGCAAGAGGCCAACCGGAGACTCAACAAAAGTCTCGCTGAGCTATGCTGCAAAGAAAGAGATGGGCTAGCTCAGTACGGCCAAGTACTACAAGAGAAAGACCGAGCCGTCGCAAAACTCGACGAACTGCAAGCCTTGATCGTCCATCAAGAGGCGAAGATCAAAGAGGCTCAAAAGTACAGTGAGGATATGATCCAGGCGGTCCAAAAGCAAAGCGAAGGACTTGCTCGTCATGTCCGGGAAGCCGAAAGAGAGCTACATAGAGATCAAGACCCGCCTGTGGGTTTCTTTAGGCTTTTCCGTTTTTTCCAAAAGTTGCT